TTTCCCTATTGAGGGAACTGTCCCCCCGACTGAGCCTGGTTTCTCCCAAGGTTTTTTTTCTCCATTCTGTCACCGATGGAGTTTTGGTTCCTTGCCGCTGTCGCCTCTGGCTTGCTTAGTTGGGGACACTTCATTTCCAGCGATATTGTCAACTTGATTGCACAGATACTATTTCAACTGAACTGAGCTGTAGTTACATCGTGTACGAAGACTAAGACTTTTGCTGGTATAAATAACGTATTTAGGCTGATGCAACAATATATAGATGATTCCATTTTTAGGTTACCATTTTTTTTCAGTGTATGATGTATGTTGTGACTTGTATTACATGGCAAAAATACAACAAACAAGATTTTCTTAATGGTTAATGGTACAACTTTATTTATTTATTTTTAATCACTTTTAGTAGACCACTGGGGAGTCAGTAATGAGTAGAACAGGGCTAAAATCTACAAGACAGGAAAGAGTCAATGACAAGAGAAGTCTAGAAAAGAGGTCATGACATGAGGAGGCCGAGGTCTGACTGATGATGGAATCTCCCTTGGATCAGAAATCTTCAAACAGATCAAGTTTTAACCAAGCTCGCCAACCTTTCTTGGAGCACAAGTTCTCCAACTGTCCTATCCTTTACAATAAAGGATTATACTTTTAAATAATGATTACTCTTATTGTAGCCTAGATCACCAGGATGGTCAAAAATCAGAGCAATGACTGTTTGCAATTTATCATCTGACTAGAGAGGAGTGTAGAAGCTTGATTAAGAAATGAGACCCTCAGCCAATCATCCTGATCCATTTCCTGTGTGTCATGAAAAATGAAAACAATCATAGTGGATTATGGAGATTATTAGCTAGTGTAGTCTAATGAAAGAAGGTATTAGGTCAGATATACACTGACACCCTTTGAGGTGGAAATGGGAGGAAGGGTTTATTTAATCATAAACAAATAGAGGATTTGCTTAAATCCACCTTTAGATGCCCTCTGAAATGAAAGCCCCCTGTGAGCCCCACTCACACCTCCATACCGCCACCTGGCTGTGGGGAGTGACCTGTCTAAGAGGAGGAGCCTGAGTTGGTCTTGTCCTCCCGGGTAACAGGGATGGTGCGATCTCCACGACCATCCTCTATGCCACCAGTCTTGGCTCCAAAAAGAGTAAGCAGGCCATCAGCAGATAGTATGCAGATGATAGCAGACTGGTCCACGTTAGAAGGCAGACGGTAGCGGCGGCGAAACTCACGGGAGATGTAGCCGTGATCATCCTGAGGAGCCAAACAACAAATGCAAGGAAAAGGCTATATACATTTTCATAAACCCATCATGTACAGACAGTAGAGATATTACTACTGTAGCTCTTCACCTCATGACCTGAGCAAACACTCACTATTTGCTCTTAGTTGACCTGAAGATGTGCCTGTTCTATTGTTGGAAAACTCAGTGTGGTATGAAAGTTGAAATATTTTCAGGAAAGATTAAAATAGGCCAAATTATTGTAATGGGGAATAAATGTGTAAAAATAGGAAGGGATTTTATTACTGTAAGAATAAGAACCTAAATAAAAGCCCTATTTTAGTAAATATCCACTTTCAAGTACTATTTTAAAGGCTTTATATATACATAAAATTGTTATTTAATTAATATAAAATATATTTATATATAATTAATGTAAAGGTAATTAATCAAGATGTAGATACCAATTTTCATGTTGGTAACATTTTACAGTAACGTCCCATGTTAATAGTTAATGTTAGTTAATGCATTACTATTACATAATGCATTAATTTTGTACTAAATGAGAATCTTATGGCAAATCTGTTTACTTTACTTTTCTCACAAATACGAAATTGTAAATTTGACTTTTAGATTAGATTTAGATTAGTTTGATCCTGATTACATTAGTGTAGATTTGAGCCCATATACGGCAGTGTACGTATCAGTACAGTTCAACAAGCACTGCCCAAACATAGTCACCAGGCTTTAATGTATGCTGTTGATCAGGACAGACAGAACAACAGCTTTAGGGTCAAGTCATTTTAAAACACTCAACCAGTTAGTCCCTGGAAAGATTACCCACAAGCCCTTTACTTGCGTGTAGGGACTCCAAATGGGGTGGCAGGCTATGACGCAAAAGTGACGTCAATCTGACACAAACATTCTGAGAGATCTGCTCACATTTTCCTCATCTGTGCTTCCCTTAAGGCTACTGAAACATGTAAATAAATCCATAATACTGAAATAGTAACAATGGGGATGGGAGGATGGGGATAAAAATAGAACTGAAGAGAAAACAACTGGGAGTGAGTGAATAGCTGATGAACTATGAAATTATCTTATAAAAGTTGAAATAAACCAAAAAGATTTTTCACGTATACATACACTTTTTCACACATAAAAATACTAATATATGCAGTCTGAACTGAGTGATTGCTGATCGCCTGTCTGTGAAAGTCTTATTATTTGCTGTGATGATTCGTTACATTGTGCTAAAGTAAATTACTGAATAAAAACTCGTGAATTATATCATGAATTATATTTTCCCACAATCTGTAGAATTTATCATAGGCTACTGCATTTTTATACACTATATAATTCTTTGAGACACACACACACACACAGGCACTTACACTAGTATTATACTGCTGTACTGTTACATAGTTCACTGTACACTGAACATTGTGATGCAAAACAAGCTAAATCACTGTAAATAAATCATTATTCACAAACAAGAGTTGGATTATTTAATGATTCATAACTGTACAGTTCAAATACTAGCTTCCTTCCATTATTATAAAAATCAGCACAGCGACTGATGAGAACATTTGGATGGTTAATTAAATTTCATTGTAACTTATTGAACACATTCCCTGTCATGTCCGGACTCCAAATGGGGTGGCAGGCTATGACGCAAAAGTGACGTCAATCTGACACAAACATTCTGAGAGATCTGCTCACATTTTCCTCATCTGTGCTTCCCTTAAGGCTACTGAAACATGTAAATAAATCCATAATACTGAAATAGTAACAATGGGGATGGGAGGATGGGGATAAAAATAGAACTGAAGAGAAAACAACTGGGAGTGAGTGAATAGCTGATGAACTATGAAATTATCTTATAAAAGTTGAAATAAACCAAAAAGATTTTTCACGTATACATACACTTTTTCACACATAAAAATACTAATATATGCAGTCTGAACTGAGTGATTGCTGATCGCCTGTCTGTGAAAGTCTTATTATTTGCTGTGATGATTCGTTACATTGTGCTAAAGTAAATTACTGAATAAAAACTCGTGAATTATATCATGAATTATATTTTCCCACAATCTGTAGAATTTATCATAGGCTACTGCATTTTTATACACTATATAATTCTTTGAGACACACACACACACACAGGCACTTACACTAGTATTATACTGCTGTACTGTTACATAGTTCACTGTACACTGAACATTGTGATGCAAAACAAGCTAAATCACTGTAAATCATTATTCACAAACAAGGGTTGGATTATTTAATGATTCACAACTGTACAGTTCAAATACTAGCTTCCTTCCATTATTATAAAAATCAGCACAGCGACTGATGAGAACATTTGGATGGTTAATTAAATTTCATTGTAACTTATTGAACACATTCCCTGTCATGTCCGAATGAGCTGTGACCTCACCTGTCTTTCTCCACGCCTGCCCTGGATCTCCACATAGTCATCTGTCACCTTGACACTGAGCTCATCAGGAGAGAAATGTTTCACATCCAGGCACACTGTGAATTTGTCTCTGTCAGACCTCACCTGCAGAAATGGCACAGTGCAGTTACATCAATGTGGTGTTGTTTGCTGCTAAGAATACATAAGGATTTTAGATTATTTCAGAAAAAATAAAGAAACTATTGCCACAAATTAATGAAAAAAAAAAAACAAGTTCATTCAGCTAACTGCATTCAGCATCTAGGTGGATATGATTCATGAATGGCATGTTTCACTGGTTGTTTCATTTGGAGTGACACTGTTGTGCATTGCAGTGATGGATGCATTTATCTGCAGGCAATATGAAAGAAAATCTCATCATTACTTAGCATGCCACAACATTAGATGAATAGAACCTATGTAACTTAATTCCTTGCTTAATTCTTTTCTGTAAACTTAACAGAAAAGGTACTGGTAATTTTCTCCGTGGACACTATACATTTTTCTACTGTTTTTTTTTTCTCTCTCTTACATTGTTGCATTTTTGTTCATTTCTCCATTTTAGCCTGACATTGTTTTGCCTTTTGTCAAAGTTATGCATTGTTTTTCAGTTTGCTCTTTTTTTATTGGTCTTATTTGCAATTTAATTCCTGGAGTCTGTAAGGAAAAACTCTAGAAATGTATTCTCTGGAAACCTTGCAGCGTTAAATGTTTGAGTTTCACCTCCACAATATACTTCACTTTTAGGTGATACTAAAACTTTATATGCTGTTTGTCACAAAGATGACTTAATGCTTTGATTTAATGATAAGCAACCCTTGTATTAGGCTTCAGCATCAACAGTGGCATTTTAAGATTCTAAATCTAAATCTTCTCAATTCACAGTGAAGCAGGTCATTACCTCAGAGATGCCTGAGTTGGAGGAGTCCAGCAAGCTGCGGAAGAGTGAGTGTCGATAGTAAGGGCTGATACTTGAGGCAGCAAAGGGAAAGAGGTCATAGTCGAGCAGGCCTTCTCCAAAGAACTTGTCGATGTGGCGGGTGGGGTAGCCCAGGGTGCGTCTAAACCAGGGATGTTGAATGGCAATATCCATAATGTCAGGCTTGGAAATTCGCAGCTTGGATTCTAAACGTAGACTGGAAAATTTCAACCTGATTGTGACTATTTGCACTTGATGTTGAGGAAATTTTTCAAGGAGATGATGTGGACTGAAGGCAGGTATGAGGAGGCTGATAGAGGCTGGTACAGTAGACAAAGATCCCTAATGATGTGTGCCGTCCCAAGCAAAGGCAAGCTCCTGGTTATATACCTGTGCTGCAGAAAGAGAGGTTTACAAGTGGATCTCTCTGGAATGGCATTATCTCATGGTGGGAACAGTGCTGTCAGCAGAATCGGTGGGGTGCACACTGACCTGAGAATGACAGTCTAGCCCTGAATGGCTCCCGGTAGTTCCCTGCTGGCAAGTTATCACCGGAAAATAAATGCCTGCCAAAACAAACCAGACCATACAGATGAAGTGGGGTGGCTACAGAGCATTACTAATGGTGTGTTATAGCCACTTGTTTCACCAGATGTTACTTAGTCCTGACTACTTTATAAGTACAGCTCTTCAGAAGCATATTTCCTCCTCAGAATTGAAGCTTTCCTAAAAAGTTCATTTTAAAAATTAGTCTGCAAAATTCTTTAGAAGCTGACCCAAAAAATTCATTTTTGATGGAATGTTACTATACAGAATACAAATCATGGACCACATAAAGAGAGGGATTAGTCTGGGGAATGTAGTGCATGAGTGAAATTCCCATGCTTTGCAGAATGAGTCTAGACATCAGTACGATGTATGTATTTTTAACCCTCTAAAAAATGAAATAAGTCATAAAAAGCTGTTTTTTTTTGTTCAGTATCATATTTGATACATCCGACTTTTATGGATCATATAGTATGATATAGTGAGAAGAAACAGCTCAGTTTTATTCAGAGACCCAAACTGAGCACAAATTTGGTGCAAATGCTTTATATGGCCAAAACTTAAGATGAAATTCTAATAGCTTGTAATGTAAATCAATGAGATCTTTATAACAGTATAGCAGACTACTTACATAAAATTATATAAATAGAAGTTGTCACTCTATATCTCCCAGTAATGTCTTAGTAATATAATATTTAAAGATGATCAAAACATATAATGCAATGCAATACAATGATTATTGAGAGACGAACAAATAATGTTCCTCAAAAGCCTGATGGATCGTATTTGAGTGATTTTTCTAAAAAATAAAAAAATAAAAAAATAAAGGGTAATAAAATAAAAGTTACTTAAATCCAGTAAGTGTTAATCTTCAAATATTAATAACAACATAAATGTTATTACTTAAATATCAGTAAAAAATTCACAGCAAAAAGACACATGAACAACAACCTGATGGTGGACATTTGTACAATGATACAATCAAATCAGACAACAGAAGACATGTGGTAGATTGTGTTCAACAGGTTTTTTTTTTAGCAAGTTTTAATCATGTTGATCATTTAAATGCCACAGGAATTTGTCATATCACATTTGATACAGTAGGCTTTATCGGGTAAACATTCATGATGATTGCACACACTCTCACTGGCAAAATAGAGCAAATGTTTTATTAACATTTGATGAGCTTTGAAAGTTGTATAAAACTGTTTGTGTTAAAAAATAGTGACCCATATCACTACAGTGACTCCATGGGCTCTATGTACAGTTGATCAGTCATTTGATCTGAGAATGAATAGCCATAGAAAGTAATCATATAGCTTCAGAAAACTTGGATTAAACCACTGGAAGAAAATCAACTGAGTTTAGAATGGCACGAGGGTCAGTAAATAAAGTAAGAAAAAAGAGAAATAAATCAAGCTACCAAATAAAATCAATATGAATGTTCTATATACACTTTTGGTAGATTGCAAACTGCTGCTTTTTTCCCCACTGTAGTAGTTTAATAGCATATATAGCAAGAGCACCGATGCATATGTTCAGTGAAATGGCTTAGCAAAGGTTTTATGTGTGGAGTATTTAACATATCTATTATCAGTCTGACTGAAGCCATAATGCCAATGGCAGACGTAATGACTTCCCCTCTGGTCCGTGCGGCAGCATTAGGGTAATCCTGGGGGCTTCACCTGGAACGCTGGTGAGGCTTAACTGTAAACCACCAGCAAGGCCCTTTTTCCATACCACAGACTCAATGGCCTTGGCAAACAGACCCCAGCCGAGCCAGTGGAGTGAGGATGGATGTCCAGGCCACCGGATGGGTGCTTTAATCTTTGGCCAGGTTTCAGCTCAGTCAGCAGCTTTTGTTGGAAGCTTTTTGTCAGTAGACTGAAGCATGAACGTAACTATTACAAGAGTGTGAGGTAAGAAAGGATATTTTATATCAAGGCTGGAGAGAAGATGCAAACTTCATTATCTTGCATGTAACAGTATCTTCAATAACGGTTTATGGCCTCCCTTCCATTGTTTATTCATTTACTGCGACAAATTCAATTAGGAAAGGATTTTTAAAATGGTATTTACTTCATTGTAATGTACCAACTTTTTTATACAATGCAGTAAGAAGGCTAGAATAATGAAAGCAAATTTAGAAACAACATTCAACAGTCATGCAGGTAACCAAATTTTTATCAACTGCACCATCATCTACTGCACCCTGAACGATTTGGTTTAACACAGTTTGTGCCAAGGCCACTTGCCTTCACTGGGGTTGATACTGCAACATCACATCGATCAACCTGGCCCTTACTGATAAAAGTGACAAAATTGATTCAAATGAAAGGTTGTGTTTACAACATGACCGGCTTCTGGAGGGCCACCTTCAAGCAAAGTTTAGCTCAAGCCCCAATTAAGCACACCTAAACCAGCTAATCAAGGTCTTTAAGCAAGAACACTAGAAACTTCCAGGCAGTTGTATTGGAGCTAACCTCTGAAGGAAAGTAACCCTCCAGGAGAAGGATTGGCCACCCTTGCTTTATAGCTTGTAACAACTTTTACCTCAGAGGAAAATTTGCCATCAGAGGTGCCTACAACTACATGTGGTTACATATATGTCAAATATTTCTCACAATAAGCAACCAAAATGAAAATACCGAGTAAAATCACTTGTTTTGTGACAGACACGGCTGTAGCACAGAATACAGTGAGACTGACTTTTTGTCAGCACTGTTTGTCCAAAATATGCAAGAAAACAAACCACAATAATTGTCACATTGACTAAAACAAATAGTTTTGGAATAACACAATGCAAAATACACATCCATGCAGTGTTGCCAACTAAGTTTCAGATAAAGTTGCTAAAGGAAGGTCTATTTGTTGCTAAAAGTTACTAAATGACGTTATGATGGCATTGTGCGATGATGTCATTGCGTAATCAAGATGCAAAATTGTCTCACAACATCAAATCTCAGCAAAACATATATTTTATATATGTTAATTTAGATTTATTTTAAAATATGCATAATATAATATTAAAATATAAATAACTATTTTTAAATGCGTTGAATTATTGAACACTTTTGAATGATTACAATTTAAGTTTTTTTAATAGCTAGTAAACTAGTAATACTACACATTCTCAACAATTATGCTTTAAGCAGTGTATTAGTAGTTAGTTAGTATGCTACACTCTAAGAAAAGTCTGTAAAAATAGGGCACAATCTACTATGTTAATATGAAATAATTTTCTGTATTGTTTTTTTTTTTTACCTGCATTTTAAATTACGCATTGTGTTTTCAGGTTACAGGGTGATAATGGATAATGTCATGGAAAATTACTAATATCTTTTCCATTTTTCTTACAGTGTACTAACTGTTCAACAATCGCAGGTACAAGCTACTAACAAAGTGTATCATAAATGAACAATTATTATTATTATTATTAAATTGAACAATTGCAAACAGCAGCTAACTCAATTCACGTGATGTGTGTACTGCTAGGCATCTGTGGTTTCCTCTCTTTTTTTGGATGGAAAATGTGTGCCTTTTTATTGTCCGAGTCACTTATCAAAATTTGCTAAAAGTTGCCAAATAAATTAAAAAAATTGCTACATTTGTTGCTAGGTGCTTTTGGAAGAAAAAGTGGCTAGGGTAGTCTGAAAAGTTGCCAAATTTAGCAACAAAATTGCTAAGTTGGCAACATTGCATCCATGGCCAGTAATGATTTATATACAGTAAAGTTAATTATTGGTAAATACGTAATTTTAGACCCTGTTCTGATGCCTTTAAACACCATTGTAAATTTGTTAACATTAGTTAATAATTGTTAACAACATTTGTAAATGTTTACATAATTATTGGCTATGAAATCAGATAAGCAAGAAATATAATTTTAAGAAGCAGTGCCACCCAACCCTACTGCCCAAATTTAGGTGAAATAACCACATGACATCTATAGCTCTAACGTTATGATTCTTTGTAGTGCATCACATTCAGATTGAGGCAGGAAGTGCTCTAATGCCTTCAGTATTCATCTGTTGATTCTGACATCGATCTCTCTCTTTTCTCTCGAGCCGTCACAAAGTTGAGGAGATCGATGGCTGTCACCACTCCAAACACCATTTGCTTTTGAGTGGAAGATCCATCTGTCAGATCTGGAAAAAACAGAGCAGCAGTTCAGGCAAACATCTCATCATCCTCTCATTGCTAAGGATGTAGGGGATCAAGAGGATAAGACCTCATAGATACAAAGATTAAAAAACTGCCTCTGGCTGCACTCACAATCCTATGTTAAAGCAAAAAGACAAGCATTTTTTCATGGACTATTAATTAAACTCCTTGAAAGGGATCACATCAGGAGGAATCAATAATAATAATTAAGTAGTATAGTGGAAACATATCAGGGCTGCGTTTCCCGATAACGTTGTCTCTTAGCGTGCTACGAAGTCTCTAAAGGTATGTCTTAACTAAAGGTATACCTGTTCTAGGCGTGTTCCCCAAACTATACCTTAGGAGGCTGCTTAAGATGTACCTCCTTTCGTGCGACGTTACCAGGTGCTGTCCACGGCGGTGGTGCTGAATTGGTTGATATCGATGCCTCGAGAATTGATTATTCATTCTATGCACGGGCTGCTTCACTGCGTTATGCGAGAAAGCAGTGTTCTTTATAAAATAATTGTTGATTTTAAATAGACATGGAACTCTTTCCTGTTAGAATGCAACGAACTTGCGTGAAACTTTTACTTTCGCTTTGCAACATACATCAAGTCAGGAAATAAAACCAAGAAAGTAAAATATATGCCCGGAGTATACCCAGTGGTCCCTACATAAAATACAAGTAAAA